TTCTGTAGCTTTCAGTTTATTAGCCCCTTTCCTAAAAAATTGGCCCCTAAAAAAGATCTTCAGGGGCCACATTGGCCCTCAAGTAAAATTTTCTGGCTGAAACACTGCCATGTTTGTGCGCACCTTCATGTTTTATATTGCATCTGAAGACTATCCTTAATTCCCCCTGACACTACATCACCAAGTGACGCATCTCCTGTGGTGAGCTCTACACTTGTTTTCTTGCAATACTCCCTTGGTGTCAGCAGGAGCTCAGCAATTTTCTTAAATTTGGAGAAAAAGGTGCCATATCCAGTTCCACAAGAAGTTGTCACAGCTTGTTGTGGCCTTTCAGACATCAGCTGTTTTGTTCCATCTCAGACTACCTGTGATCTCTGTGCAAGTTACCTCTCAGCAGTAAGACGACATCCTGGGCAAGGACCCGGTGATGTGTGTTACCTCCTGACTCCCTCAATTTTCAGTGCAGTACCTCCTGTGAATTAAGGAATGGATTGAAAGCAAGATCATGATCCCCAGCGAGGCTTCTAGTTAAGTATTGGTGATCGCTAACTTTATTAACTAAAGAGCTCTCAAGTTTCAANGATCCTAATAAACTGCTTTATTTTCCTTGGTACCCTGATGCATTTTTTCCTTCTGTAGCTTTCAGTTTATTAGCCCCTTTCCTAAAAAATTGGCCCCTAAAAAAGATCTTCAGGGGCCACATTGGCCCTCAAGTAAAATTTTCTGGCTGAAACACTGCCATGTTTGTGCGCACCTTCATGTTTTATATTGCATCTGAAGACTATCCTTAATTCCCCCTGACACTACATCACCAAGTGACGCATCTCCTGTGGTGAGCTCTACACTTGTTTTCTTGCAATACTCCCTTGGTGTCAGCAGGAGCTCAGCAATTTTCTTAAATTTGGAGAAAAAGGTGCCATATCCAGTTCCACAAGAAGTTGTCACAGCTTGTTGTGACCTTTCAGACATCAGCTGTTTTGTTCCATCTCAGACTACCTGTGATCTCTGTGCAAGTCACCTCTCAGCAGTAAGATGACATCCTGGGCAAGGACCCGACGATGTGTGTTACCTCCTGACTCCCTCAATTTTCAGTGCAGTACTTCATGTGAGTTAAGGAATGGATTGAAAGTGAGATCATGATCCCCAGTGAGGCTTCTTGTTAAGTATTGGTGATCGCTAACTTTATTAACTAAAGAGCTCTCAAGTTTCAAGTTTCAGCGTGGTACGTGTAAACAATCATGGCGTTGCTTTTCGAAGGTGTACTAAATCAAGAAATGTTTCGATATGAAGGAAGTTTGCCAGTGTAAAAATATTATCTGCTCATTACTGGTATACTGGGGGATTTTCATCTCGAAATATTTTGAACGGATCTTCACCAGACACAGGTACGTAATATATAATTTCAGCCC